TAATGAAGTGCATTATATCTGCAAATTTCGATGACTTCCCTTTCTTTGAAAGATTCACAGGATGCCCTTCAGATACCAGGATGGCAAGACAGATGTCTACAGTCTTGGGAACACTGACAGTTTGGCCACCTGTGTGCTTCCTGCCCCTTCAACGCCATGTTCTACAGTTTCAGCCCCATACAAACACTCCTTCCCAAACTTGGACCACAGTTTTTTGGTCACTTTGATGCCCCCATTCATTTTTGTCTGCTTTCCATCTTCATGAAAACACTGTACTCCTTCCTGTCTCCTCTAACAACATTTTGCATCCCTTTCTCTGGCTTTTTCTCCTCCTCCTTATCCTAAGAGTAAAGGGCTGTATCACCTTCTGTACTTGTGCTATTACATACTCTCTCCTTGGGCAGTCTCATCCCTTTCTTCTTGTTTCAGCAATCAACTTTATGTGAATGAAGCAATCCACATTTTTTCTTCTGTCCCCTACCAGTCTCCCATGCTAGAGTACCACGTTTTCCACTTTTGGGCTGTCTCTACCAAAGCCTAAAAATCAGCCTCTCAAAAACTAAACGTATTGGTTTAACTTCCTAAGCCTACTCTTCCTCCTGACATCCCTCTTAAAAAATATTAATGATAACATCTATTTTTATACTCCTTATCATGTGGCAGATATTATTCTACATGGTTTATGTATGATAAAGCTGTTTAATGTTCACAGCAGTTCCATGGGAAAGATACTATTATATCCCTAATTTTACAGATAAATAAACCAAGACACACAGAGAGCTTGTTTACGATTATATAGATACTAAATGTCAAGGCTAGAATTGGAATTTAGGTAGTCTGGCCCCAGAACTGAACACTTAACTACTCTGCTGTACCACCTTTCTTCAGCAGATTTTTTTGTTTTTTAAGACAGAGTCTTGCCCTGTTGCCCAGGCTAGAATACAGGGGCAGGATCTCAGCTCACTGCAACCTCTGCCTCCGGGTTCAAGCAATTCTCCTGCTTCAGCCTCCTGAGTAGCAGGGATTACAGGCACATGCCACCATGCCCGGCTACTTTTTGGAGTTTTGGTAGAGACAGGGTTTCACCATATTGGTCAGGCTAGTCTTGCCTGATCTCAGGTGATCGACCCGCCCTGGCTGCCAAAGTGCTGGGATTACAGGTGTGAGCCACTGCACCCAGCCTCTTCGTCACATTTCAATCCTTACATTAGTCTTCAACTCCTTCAGTCCGTGTCCTGCCAAGTCCTGCTGATTTTCTTTCTGCAAAGCCTCCCCTTTCAGTTGGCTCCTCCTTGTTCCCCTGTTCTCTTATTACCTCTTACTGATATACAAGTTTTATTGACTGCTAGTTATCCACTAATCAGCTCTTCTCTAGGTCCACTATACCTGGGTTTTCTTTTTTTTTTCAAAAGTGAAAATAGCTTTGTCATTTTTCTGGATATAAAAATAACATGCTCTGCCACATGTGGTAGCTCATGCCTGTAATCCCAATACTTCGGGAGGCCAAGGCAGGTGGATCACTTGAGCTTGGGAGTTGGAGACCAGCCTGGGTAACATGGCAAAATCCTGCCTCTACAAAAAATATAAAAATTAGCCAGGCACGGTGGTGCACACCTGTAATCTCAGCTACTTGGGAGGCTGAGGCCAGAGGATGGCTTGAGCCTGGGAAGCAGATGTCGCAGCGAGCCATCCCACCACTGCACTCCAACCTAAGTGGCAGAGCCAGATCCTGTCTCAATAAAAAATAATAATAAAAATAATTTTTTTTAATGTACATTGTATCATAATCAGAAGACAAAAGCAAATACACACAAAAAAAACTAAAGGCCGGGCACAGTGGCTCATGCCTGTAATCCCAGCACTTTGAGAGGCTGAGGTGGATGGATTGCTTGAGCTCAGCAGTTAGAGACCAGCCTGGCCAACATAGCAAAACCCCCTCTCTACAAAAATACAAAAATTAGCTGGGCATGGTAGCAGGCACCTGTAATTCCAGCTACTTGGGAGGCTGAGGCAGGAGAATCACTTGAACTCAGGAGGCGGAGTTTGCAGTGAGTTGAGATAGCACCATCGCACTCCAGCCTGGACAAGCAGAGTGAAATTCCATCTCAAAAAGAAAAAAAAAGAAATGAAACAAACAAAAATCTAAATCATAATTTTGTTGTCTCTGCCGTGATAATTGTTGCTAGCATATTGGTACATACTACATAGATTTTTGTCTCTCTTTGCATCATGTACACAGACACATAACCGTAACATTTTAACATTAAAAAATGAGATATTTCTTTATTGCATTTTAATTTTTTCATTGATAATACTAGATATTAGCCATTTTGATATTTGTCATTCTTTAACACAAATGTATGTTTTTGTATTAGTTTGTATTTTTCTAATTACCAGTGATACTGACTAGTTTTTCACAGGTTTAATGGATTTTGTTTTCTCTCTCTTGTGACCTGACTTTTACTATATGTTTTCTAGTAGTGATCACTTTTTCTTATTGATTTGTACGAGCTCTTTACATATCAAGCATATTAACTATTTGCTTATTATGTATATAGAAGAAAATTTTCCCTAAGTTGTTCTTATTTCAATTTTATGTTAGAGATTTTTTTGTTGCTGTTTTGTTACATAAATGTTTAAGATTTGTAGTCATTTATACGATTATTTTCCTTTGTTTCCTGCCTTTGGTGTTCTGTGACCAGATTACTGTTTTTAATGCTCAGGTCTGATCACATGACCCGTGGAATGATTACTGGCCTGCAGAGGCTGGAGAGGCCCAAGCTTCTTGGGCTCAAAATCATCAAGTAGATAAGTTCTCTTCCTGGTCAAATCACATTTCAGCTCATTTATGACTCCTTTCTTTCACACAATTAAAAATAAAAGAGTTTGTTAGACACAGGATCTCACTAGGTTGCTCAGGCTGATCTCAAGCTCCTGGGTTCACGGAATCCTATCCCTCAGCCTCCCAAGGAGCTGAGATAGCAGGCCAAGCCACCACAGTTAGTACATTCATAATATTAAACTCTATTCGATACAATCAATTGCTATTCTGAAAATCTGTCCCATCTTTCACCACTCTTAGAAATTATGAAAAAAAATAAAAGATTTTAATAGTGACTAGAGATTATTAAAATAGATTGATATGATATTCTTGAAATTACACCTTGGAAATCACATTGTTCAAAACCAGAGACAGAATACACTGGGACCTTGCTTCAGGATCCCTCTGTGGTGGGAAGAAGGGAAGCCTGGGTTGAATAAAAGGTCTCCTAGCGCAGCTTAGGATATTCTGCTACAATCTAAATGCATTCAAGTGATGTCATTTAAATTATGAATGCTACATGCATAGGTTCCCCCTTGGTTAGCTGTCACACAGCAAGCTGACTAGTCACCTAAAGTTTACCTAGAGCTTTTCCTATCCAGAATTCCCACCCACCTTTGCTCACACTGTTCTTTCTATCTGGAACACTCTCTCTCAAATTATCTCTATCCCTCCTCAAGTAAACTACATTAATCTTCCAGGTCTCCACTCAAAACCGATCTCCATTTTTAATTCCCAAGCAAGAAACAAGTGAACACTTGCTTCTTATAGTTTGCAATGCTTTATGACTCTTCTCTTGTGACTCATCATATCTTTGCTTGCTCATGATTGCCTGAGTGCATGTTATCTCCCTACTACACTATAAGTTCCTTAGGAGCAGAGACTGGATCTCATCTTGGAGCACATCTCCAGTACCTAACAGAGGGCACTGGGTAGTCCTTAGTAAATCTGCTGAATAAAGGAATGATCATAACGAATGGCTCAGTGCTACGTCACTGAAGCCACTATCTAGGGTTTGCTTTAAGAAGGTCTTGGCTGGGCACAGTGGTTCACACCTGTAATCCCAGCACTTTGGGAGGCCAAGGCAGGAGGATCACTTGAGGTCAGGAGTTTGAGATCAGCTTGGCCAACATGGAGAAACACCACCTCTACTAATAATACAAAAAAATTAGCCGGGCATGGTGGTGAACACCTACAATTCCAGCTACTGGGGAGGCTGAGGCAGAACCCGGGAGACAGAGGTTGCAGTGAGCCAAGATCGTGCCATTGCACTCCAGCCTGTGTGACAAGAGCAAAACTTCATCTCAAAAAAACAAGAGAAGGTATCTGAGAAGCTCTAAACCCACACTGGGGTTGGAAACAGGCCCACAGTCATTATTAGGCCTTCTTTTGAATTCTCAGCAGCGCTGCCCTATCGGGTCAACATTCACCTCAATATTAACATCTGGGCCAAGTCAACATCCTAGAGATCTAGTATCTGTTCTGGCACATTCACTAAGGGTAACAAAGACACACAACTGGAGCCTTGGTATCTCTCAGCTGGTACCACCACTCCTGGAGAAAAATACAACTCTTTCTCTTTCCTTTTCTCTCTCTCCCTTCCTTCCTTCCTTCCTTCCTTCCTCCCTTCCTCCCTCCCTCCCTTCCTCCCTCCCTTCCTCCTTCCCTTCTTTCCCTCCCTCCCTCTCTCCTTTCTTTCCTTCCCTCCTTCCCTCACTCCCTCCTTCCCTCCTTCTGAAAAATAATACAACTCTCTCTCTCTCTTTCTTTTTTTTCTTTTCTGAGATGGAGTCTCACTCTGTCACCCAGGCTGGAGTGCAGTGGCATGATCTCGGCTCACTGCAACCTCTGCCTCCTGGGTTCAAGCAATTCTCTGCCTCAGCCTCCTGAGTAGCTGGGATTACAGGCACTCGTCACCACCCCCGACTAATTTTTATATTTTTAGTAGAGATGGGGTTTCACCATCTTGGCCAGGCTGGTCTTGAACTCCTGGCCTTGTGATCCACCCACCTTGGCTTCCACACTTTTTTTATAGCATCCAAATCCAGGACAAGGCTGTGTGAGTCAAACTGCTCAGTGTTCCAACTTGCTAAAACATGGTATAATTGGCAGTAGTTGACTTTGCTTAAACAGGAGCTCAATGCAAAGGCATTCAGCACAGAGACTAAGAGAGTCATACCTGAATGTTAACATCCGCCCCGTTGTTGACTAACAATTCAAGACACAAAGCACCATGAGTGGAGGCAGCAGCAAAATGCAAAGGGGTGAACCCATTATTGTTTGGCTGGTTCACATTAGCACCATAGTCAATCAGCTCGTTAACCACAGCATCCTGTCCATTGTAGCAGGCGATGTGAAGTGCTGTATTTCCATAGACATTGATTTCATCAATCTGCAAAAGAGTCCAACACAGGGCGATTAAAGTCACTGGAGCCAGTTTACTCCATTTTCCACAAAAAGCTTAATGGCTGTGGCTAGAGAAAGGAAATATCCATCAGCCAATATAATTGTTCAGAGCTTACTCTTGGCCCAGTATGGTCTTCTTGATGATGCTTGTCACCCCATGGTAATGATCAGCAAAAAGTCAATGTGACAAAAAATGAACTGGAAAGAGAGTTAGAAGTTTTGTCCTGGGGATAGGTATTTTTCAGCTAACAAATGGATCAAAGGTGAAGAGCAAAGTTTCTTTCAAAACACCAAAAGAGAAGTAAATCGGGGGAGAACAGAAAGAGCCCCAAACTCTAGGGTTGAGGCACAGCGAGCCTAAAGACATGGTGGGAGGTGGCTGTGGAGCCTCAACATGGAAGGCGGGTCAGACCCACTCTCGGTTCTGCTCTGGAGTCCGACAAATCACAGGTTGCATTTTAGTTGCAGAGCGGTGGTGCCCTCAGGAGGTGTGTTCAGTCCATGGCTCCCTATTGCTTTATGAGGCCCGACCTGGGTGCTGAGTTTCATCATTATGGTCGTATAGGAACTTGGTTTTCCTTTCCTGGGGGACAGGATGTTCCAACCTCACCACTGCTCCTGCTCTACTAGAGGAAGGAGAATGGGGCAGTCTGACTTCTCCAGTTCAGCAGTAGACATGGCTGCTGTTTGTCTCTGCCATTTATTCATTCATTTCTGCTTTAAGTCATGACTTAAAAGGCTACACTCAGACGGTGGGATGCAGAACCTTAGCTAGTCTTTAAAAACAACCGGTTAATATATATGACATAGACTCTACATGTCTATATATTTATCTACATTGATATAGAAAGTTATTCAGTCTCTAGTTTTCCTCTGCTTAGTGTATGCCCCCACTGCCCTTCATCAGTTGCCCACAGAAACTCAGAAAGATGAGATGCTAGAAAACAACTCCCCTGCCCTTGAATTAAAGTGCAGACAGGATTTAACTTTAGAACAACAGAAATCCCACAAATACACAAGCCATGCAGCGAGGCATTCACTATAGCTCACCTCCACCCCCAGATTCAGGAGATGCTTGACAACATTGATCTGTCCATTGGAGGCTGCGGCATGCAGAGGGGTGTAACCCTTCTTATCCTTACAGGTCACTTCTGCACCATGGTTAATGAGCAATGCTACCACATCCAGGTGGCCTTTACAAACAAAGCAACAGAAAACATTGTTAACCTTTAGAGGGACATTTGCTCATTCATTTCACCTAAATTATCACTGTTAGCTTTTATTGCCACCAGTCTTTTGCTGAGTTATTTGTAAAAAGCTGATTCACGGCAACTATTCAACAAATGTTTGCTGAGTATCTACTATGGTCAGGCATAATGTAAATGCTGTGGGAGGAAAAAACATGATTCATACGTGAGCCTTCTCTTCAAGGAGATCTAGGTGCCCTGTTACCATGCTAATGAATAATGGTGAAGTTTTGCCAGGATATAAGCAGAGAGCCTGAGAAAAGTTGTGTTAAAATGAAAGCAATGCCTTTGAAAACAATTGCCATTCCTCACTGAAAAGTTTAACAATGACAATTCAGTTTAGGAAAACTGATGAAAGAAAAAAAATCAATTAATGAGAATGACCCCAGATTACTGTTTAATCATATAAAATTACTGCTGCTTAATGGTATTTTGACCCACAAAAATGACAATTTCATATGGCTTAACTTACAAATATCCTCATGAATTAGAAGCCAAACAGAAAATCCTTCTAGTTTTAGCTCCTTTGGCATTTATTTCTATGATCTTTTACTCTGTTCCATAATTCACTATACATAGAATGATAAGCCTGGGTTCAAGCAATTCTCATGCCTCAGCCTCCTGAGCAGCTGGGACTACTCCATCTCTACTAAAAATACAAAAATTCAGCTAGTTTTGGTGGCACATGCCTGTAGTCCCAGCTGTTCAGGAGGCTGAGGCACGAGAATCGCTTGAACCCAGGAAGTGGAGGCTACAGTGAGCTGAGATCACACCACTGCACTCCAGCCTGGGCAACAGAGCAAGACCCTGTCTCAAAACAAAACAAAAAAATGATAAACATATTTGACCTTTATTTTGGGACTGAAGATTGTTTGATGCTTCAGGATCATTGCTCTAAACATGGCTGAAAATTGAAGGGTAGAAGACAAGCACTGACTCCAGGACTTGTGTGTGTGCTGGGGTGGGGGGAAAGTATTGGCTTGTTTTATTAAAATTTGACTCTTTTCTCCCCAAGACGTGTATATAGAAAAATATATTTTCAATTATTAGTGGTGCTACCTTAAGCTGTTTGCCCTGGTTTTGCCTATTATTCCTGTTTGTATCCTGATAAAACACAAGACAATGACTTGATCCCTTTAAAGTCACTTATCCAAATGCTTTAGCTGTATATACATCAGCAGAGAATAAGCTTGGAACCTCACATTCTTTGAATCCTATCCACACTAGCTTAGTGTGTGTTCAGCCTACACAGCTGTCTCCCGCAGTCACTGGCTCCAGTCCTGCAGGTGCCACGCAGTCACTTCATATGCTTCAGCCAACATGAAAATCCATGTCAACTTTTTCAAAAAACACGCTAATGCAGGGCCGGGTGCAGTGGCTCACGCCTGTAATCCCAACACTTTGGGAGGCTCAGGTGAGTGGATCACGAGGTCAGAAGTTCAAGACCAGCCTGAGTGAAACCCCATCTCTACTACAAATACAAAAATTAGCTGGGGCTGGGTGTGGTGGTGCACACCTGTAATCCCAGCTACTTGGGAGGCGGAAGCAGGAGAATTACTTGAACCTGAGAGGTGAAGGTTGCAGTGAGCCGAGATCATGCCACTGCACTCCAGCCTG